GTTTTTTTTCTCTTTTTTATCCCGACCAAACACACACAGCTCTCATTCCCCACCAACAACAACACTCTCATCTCCCACCCAACAACGACAGCTCTCATCTTCCCACCAACATACACAGCTTCTCATTCCCACCACAACACAGCCCTCATTCCCACCCAACAACACAGCTCTCCATTCCACCAACAACAACAGCTCTCATTCCCCCAACAACACAGCTCCTCATTCCTCACCAACACAGCTCTCATGCCCCACCAACAACACAGCCTCTCATTCCCAACCAACCAGTCCTCATTCCCACCAACAACACAGGCTCTCATTCCCACCAACAACAGCCTCCATTCTCCACCGAACACAACACAGCGTCATTCCCAGGTCCACCCAACAACAGCTCCCATTCCCTCACTCGCCACATAACACAGCTCTCATTCCACCTTAACGAACACCAGCCCTCTCATTCCCACCCATACTAGCGAGCTTTCATTCCCACCGACAACACAGTCTCTCTTCCCCCAACAACACCAGCTTCATATCCCACCTTATACAACTTCTCATTTTCCCACCGATCACACAGCTCTCATTCCTCACCAACTGGAACCACAGCTCTCGATTTCCAGCCAATCAACACAGCTCCTTCATTCCACCTAACAACACATCTCTCATCTCGATCCAACTACCAGCTTCTCATTCTCGACCCAACACACAGCTCTCATTTCGCCCCATACAACACACGCTCTTCATTTCCCACCAACAACATGCTCTTCAATTCCACCAACACACAGCTCTCATCTCACCAACAACACACCTCATTCCCCACCAACAACACAGCTCTCATCTTCCCACCACACCAAAAGGCTCTCATTCCCACCAAACAACACAGCTCTCATCCCACCAACACAACAGCTCTCATTCCCACCAACAGCTCTCACTTCCCGATTCGTCTTGGTGTGATGCTGTTGCTCATGGAGTTTATTTTCTCCTACCAAACAACACAGCTCTCATTCCCACTCAACAACAGCAGCTCTCATTCTCGCGACCAACACACAGCTCTCATATTCCCACGACAAGCTCTACAATTCTCACGAACAACATCAGCCTCCATCCACCTAACACCAGTCTACTCATGTTCTCAGCCAACACAGCTCTCTGTCCGCTACCAACCTAACACATCAGCTCCTCATTCCACCAAGCAACACAGCCTCATGGTTCCCACCAACAACTACAGCCTCCTCATTCCCACTATACTACAGTCTCTTCATTGTTGTACTGGTCCCTCTTACCTAACATAACATGCCTCTCATTCATCCCACCCAACAACGACAGCTGCTCATTTCTCTTACCAAGCAACACAGCTCAGTCATTTCCATATTGTATTTGAGATTTTGTTTTGGTTTTTAGGATTTGACCCAATCACAGCTCTCATTCTCACCAACCACAGCTCTCATTCTCCACCACAGCAGCTCTCATGCCACCAACAACACAGCTCTCATTTCCTACCAACTAACAACAGGCTCTCAATCTCACCAACAACACAGCTCTCCATTCTCACCAATCACTAGCTCTCATTCCCGACCTAACAACCAGTCTCATTATCCCACACCAACACAGCTCCATTTTCCCACCAACACACAGCGTCTGCATTTCTCCCACACAACCAACAAGCTCTTCATTCTCACGCAACAACATCAGGCTTCTTTCATTCCATCGCAAACATACAGCTCTCATCCCACCCAACTAGACACAGCTTCGCGATTCTCCACCTAACCAACACAGCTCTCAATTCCCACCATACAACACAGCACTATTTTCTATTTTCCCCTACCAACAACTATCATGTCATCTCAGTTCTCCCACCAACTACAGCTCTCATTCACTCTAACTAACACTTAGCTCTCTGCTTCCCATCCACAACTTCAGCATCTCATTCCCACCAAACCAAGCTCTCATAGTTTCACCACCATCAACACAGCAACACAGCTCTCATTCTCTCTCATTCTCAATAACCTGTATGGTTTGTCCAAGCAGGCATACGTTAAAGAGACTGGTGGTTTCTTAGCATCACCCAGATGGTCAGTGTCACCACTCGGGAAGGAGATATGAAGTCCCCACGTCCGAGTTCTTAGCCCAGAGAGACAGGCTGCTGCTCTGCTTGTGAATTTACTACTCATCTGCACAGACATGCTACTCCCTCCCCGCAAAGTCTCCCGTCAGCTTCCCAACCAGACTCTGCTGCAACTTGTCTCAGCCACACATGTGGAGTTTTACCTGCCATCACCTCAGGTGACTGGAAGAACTCATCTGGGTGCACATAGCCCGTCTGCGGAAGGAGACACCACAGCACTCGGAGCAGGCCGAGGCCACCCCAAAGCACCCTGACTGCCATCTTCAGATCCAGTTGTTGCCAACACACCGGGCCCAAAACCTGGAATGATGTCCCAGCTGCTACAGATGCCACGCTGGATCCACAGATCTGCATCTGTTGAGGAAAACACTTTTTGTTTATCACGATGTAAATTACAATATATCCAACTATCTGAACAAACTCAAAATGGATCTATCATTTAATAAAAATGACAATAATAATAATAGCTACTTTATACTAAATGCCCACTGACTGCCAGGCACTTGACATGCATATTTCATTGAATCCTTTCCACAGCCTGGGGCAGTGGGTCTCGGTATCCCTGTTTTACAGATGGGAACGGAGGCCTCTGGTGAGTAACTCGGTTACTTGCTGACCATATTTGCAAAGGAGTCTGATGGTTAATTTTACGTGTCCACTTGACTGGGCTAAGAGATACCCAGATAGCTGCTAGAACATTATTTCTAGCAGTGTCTAGCAGGGTATTTCAGGAAGAGATTAGCCTTTGTTTGTCTTTTTTGGTTTGTTTGTTTGTTTTGAGATGAAGTCTTGCTCTGTCACCCAGGCTGGAGTGCAGTGGCTCACTGCAACTTCCACCTCCTGGGTCCAAGTGATTCTCTGCCTCAGCCTCCTGAGGACCTGGGATTATAGGCACGTGCCACCACCCCCAGCTAATTTTTGTATTTTTAGTAGAGATAGGGTTTCACCATGTTGGTCAGGCTGGTCTCGAACTCCTGACCTCATGATCTGCCCACTTTGGCCTCCCAAAGTCCTGGGATTACAGGCGTGAGCCACTGCGCCCGGCTGAGATTAACCTTTGAATTGACAGACTAAGTGAAGAAGATCAGCTGCACCAGCGTGGGTGGGCATGATCCAACCCACTGAGGGTCTGAATAAAACAAACACGTGGAGGACGGGTGAATCTGCGCTGTCTTCAGCCGGGATAGCTGTCTTCTCCTGCCCTCAGACAACAGTGCTCCTGGTTCGTGGGCCTTCAGACTCTGTGTCTCACACCAGTGCCCCACAGCCCACCTCCCCGAATCAGGTTCTCGGGCAGTCAGACTAGGCCTGGGAGTTACACTGCAGGCTCCTCTGTTTCTAAGGCTCCCGACCCGGACTGAATTAAATCACCAGCTTTCCTGGTTCTCCAGCTTGCAGGTGTCAGACTGTGGGACTTCACCAGCCCCCATAATTGCATGACCCAATTTTCATAGTAAATGATACAGCCAATTCCCTATTATTTCTGTTTCTCTGGAGAACCCTGACTTATACAGGGTCTAAATATGACATTTGCCCAATGTGACATTTGCAAGAAGGACTAGGGTACCCAACAAATCTGGGTCTTGCCGTTCCATCCTGATCACCAGCTCCTATCCACTTTCCTGACAGGGGACAGAAGCAGTAGCTCCGCTGGTCAGTTTTGCAGTGTTCTAGGAGTCATTCCTGGGGATTCAGCCTAGAGTTTGATCACTCAGCACTTCCAAAGGTTTTGTAAGCAGCTAATTCCCTATATTAACTCCGTTTTGCATAAAACATTTAGTTGTTTGCAAACAACAACAAAAACAGTGCAAGCTGGCTTCAACAATTCATCATGTTGCCAGGCGTGGTGGTGCATCCCTGTAGTCCCGGCTACTTGGGAGGCAGAGGCAGAGGATTGCTTGACCCAAGGAGTTGAAGGTCAGCCTGGCAACATAGCAAGACCCCCATCTCTTAAAAGAAAAAGCAGGAAACAATTCATCATGTCACATAAAAAAGCAGCCAGGCTTGGTACTGCCAGGGTCCCTTGCCGCTTCTCAGGTCAGCCTTGATGCTGCCTTTCTCTCTGTGTGGACATAATCCTCAGTTCCAGCCATCCCATCCAGAAATGCCAACACTGAGAAGTGTCTGTATTTTTGAGGCTGTCTCTTTTTAAAACAGGTTTATTGACATATAATTAATACTCCATGCAACTCATTAAAGTGTACAATTCAGGTGGTTTCCTGGTATCATTCGCTAGGCAGGTGCAACCCATCCACCACATCAATTCTAGAAATTGTTCATCACTCAAATGAACGAACCCATACCTTTAATTCCTGTCAATACTTTATTCATTTGTGAACTATATTATTATATTTTGTAGAAGTTTATCATTGTATGCACGTTATTGGAAAACTGAATATCTTATCAATTATAGCTAGTTATCTCTAATCTCTAGTTTCGTTTTGTCCTAAAGTAATTTTGCCTGATATTAATTTGGCTAACACACTTTTTTGAAAATTCAGTATTTACATGGTCACTATTCCCTACCTTTTCGTTTCTTTCTGTATTTTTTATTCATTCTTTCCAGATAGTCCTCGCTCTGATTGCACAGCGCTGGAGTGGGCA